ATGATTTAAAATCTGGCTGTTCAGACCAGGTCATAACTCCAGTTGTCTGCGCATGCACCTCTGCCACTAGCTTGCCACTATTACACATTACTAACTTTGTGTCTCCTTTCTCCCGTAGTGTGTCCTCTCTCTCTCTCCCTGTACCTTTCTGCAGGTTGCCCTGGCCCTGGAGCTCTATGTCTCTGACGAGCAGTCACCGGCCACATCGACCTGATCAGTGTTTGATTGTTGTGTCTTGTTGCTTTTCTTCTTTTGTCTCTCCTCTATCCACTCACCCCAACCGGTCGAGGCAGAAGGCCGCCCACCAAGAGCCGGGGTCTGTCGGAGGTTTCTTCCGTTAAAGGGAGTTTTTCCTCCCCACTGTCGCCAAGTGCTTGCTCAAGGGGGATTTGTTGGGTTTTCCCTATGTAATAATATTGATAACAGTAAGGTCTAGACCTTACTTTGTAAAGTGTCCTGAGATGACTTTTGTTGTGATTTGGCGCTATACAAATAAAATTTGATTTGATTTGATTTAGTAACACCGGGCATCACACTAGTGGAAGCAGAGTCCCAGCTCGTCACCTTTTTGACACAATAGTGGCCCCACTGGAACAAACTAGTAATGCTGAAAATCTTACTGGTTGACTAGTGAGCTACAAATGCTCTGACGTGTTAACCAGTCAAGCATTGATTTAGGTCACTAGTTAAATAGTGGCCTACAATTTTATGTACTGGTTCCCTAGTGAGAGCCTAAATGCTCACTAGTTAACTAGCAAAGGCCAATATGCAGAGTAGGTAACTAGTTAGTCACTTTAGCCTTACTAGTTAACTAGTAAGAGTCATGAGGTCCACTAGTTAAACTAGTTGGGGTCTTTTGAACTTAACTTACATGCATGTTCTCTTGCTAGTGAATTAGAGCCAAATAGAGTAACTAGTTAACTAACACTTAAGTTTTCCTCACTAGTGGAAGACTTTTTGTCTCACTATTCAGACAGTGTGGAACACGTTAAGACTGAACATGTTGGACATTTTGGTTTTTTTTACATGCTGGGCCTTTTGCTAGTTGAGCATCAGTCAGCACTAGTGAGTGTGTGCAACTAGTGAGACATTTGTTAAACATGTAGGCCTTTTTGTTGTACTAGTTGAGGTGATATGCGTGTGAATAGTTAATTAGGGAAGTGCTGCCCCGGTCATGCATGTTAGCTAATTAGTAAGCCACTATTTAACTAGTGACCTGAATCAATGCTCAACTGGTTAACATGTCGGAGCACTTGCAGCTCACTAGTCAACTAGTAAGATTTACAGCATTACTAGTTCTTTCCAGAGGGGCCACTACTGCATCAAAAAGCTGACGAGCTAGGACTCTGCTGCTAATAGTGTGACGCTTCTGTTGGAACTGGTTGGACAAAACATTAGAAGTGTTACTAGTAAGACAAAATGACAAACTAGTGTGACCAAATGTCCATCTGGTGCTGGTTAAAGGCCATATTAGTGGAGGAAAGTGACGGCTGATATCAAGGATATGGACTAAATGCTCACCTCACCATGGCATTGTGTATAACAGGAGCTGAATTCACTGAGGTAAATTAGCGCTTGATGAAGTTGTTTAACTTAAAGCTTTCTAGCCGGTCTCTGTTACTGTTTGAGTTAAATCATTTGTTTTTGCACTTGTTTGACATGTTTTGAATATCTTTTGGTTGTTTTGCTAGAAAACCATATACTGGTCTGGATTTATGGTTTTCAGGTTGAGGCTCTTTGCACAAAACGAGTATTTTGAAGACTGGACACTGGCCTCTTCTGGTTAGGTCAAATTCCATTCTGTGCTTATTAGTCATACTGGCTTCCACAGTTGTGATGCTAAGTGTTTTTTGTTGTTGTTGTTTGGTTACTTTGGTCTAGGTTGTAATATACTGCTTCAATATGGGCAACTCAGGTTACAAATTAGATTAAGTACAGAGTGACACTGAGTCTTAAACTGTGGATTTCAATCTAAGTTTGCTGATTCTGTAAGTTGGAAAGTGTTATTTTGTGCAGCTACAGCTCCACAACATTAAAAATAGCTTGTTTAAGTTTGTCTATTTTTTAATCACACAAAGCAAATCAGGTGCCAACTGGCAGTTAAACTTATATGTTTGTTACTAATTTATAAAGTATAAGGCCTGGTAGGAACTTGGGCTGAGTGGGCCTGGACCTTCATCCGCAATACATATCCACTGTATACTGAACTATATTTTACAGTATAAACATTTACCAGGTTTTTTAGTGGCATCTGCACTATTGCTGTGAAGAACATTTTCTAATTTCTATGCAGGTCATTTTTAGTTTAAACTCAAGTGTCTTATTGATTTGTAGTAAATATTATAAAGTGCCAGTTCCGTTTTGAAGCAAATGCATTAAAAGACTGTTCTGCTTGTGTAAACAAGTTTTTTTGAATTTTCAGCTATTGTTTTTGAATGGTCATACAGTCAGCTAGCAGTTTATGGGTACATCAAGCTAAAACAAATGTAGTACCTAGAACATACCTAGAAAACATCCTACCTTCGTTTTTGTTACCTAAGCCTTAATGATTTAAATAGGATGGACAAAATAATAAACCTTGTGTAATAATACAGTTCAGTTTCACCATAAACTACATCTTCTAAAATATTTTACTTCACTGCAAAAGCTTAGTTCTCAGAAAAAAAGGGGAAAATATTATGGAAATGAGCTGCCAGCAGAACAGGAACATTTCACCTGCCAATATGTTTAGAAACAAAATATCTAGTCTCATGAACCCATAGATATCTTAAAACTAGTGTAACTAGACTACAAACAAGTACAATTATCTGATACAAATCAGTTTTGTACTCGTCAGTGTTGATCATACAACTTCATAATTCTGGTAATTCAAATTTTAAGCACTATTACTCAGAACCAGTATTTTATATTTCAGTAACAATATCTTAAGATAATGACAAAAAAAAGCTCTTACTGGTTCTAAGTAATGATAATCTTGCTTATTTAAGTAATATTTGTCCTATTTTATTAATTATTTCTTGTTTTTGAGAGCTGTGCTTTTGGAGTGCAGCGCCTCTCTACAACAATTTCAACAAAAACTGAACATCATCATCTTCATGAAGCAAGTTGTTACAGGACGACTGTATCAAACTGCATCACTTGCAGTATCTCGGTGTACCTAATAAATAACAATGTATTGTCATATTATAGGGTTGATAAAGCTTAGAGATGTATGTGAAAGATGAGATGCATGCTTACATTTTGTGACTCGAACATTCCTGGTAACAACATAAGAAAAAAAAGGCAACCCAACATATTTCAGCTTCATATGAACATTTAGCAGTTTTAATGTGTAACCATTATAAAAAATGTATTCATGAATTACTTTTTACAAGAAACATCTTAAACATATTGGCAAAATGTTTTTTTTTTCTTTCTACTGTGAGTCAGCAGGTTACAAATTTCAATCTTCAATTTTAAGTACCTTAAGAAAAAGCTAAAATTATACAATGTCTCAGTTCGACATGATGAAAAATCTGAATTATTTTAAGTTTGGACTAATGGGGTCCCTGTCATAGGGTTGGATATGGAACATTTTTAAGTATTCTTTTCAGTTATCCATGTTCTGTAATGATTGAACCAAGTTTTCTTCAACTTTCAGTATATCATGATATTAGATGTATTTCATATAAACGGAAGCACTACAGCTTTAACAGATTTTTAAAATATCACCATCACAGACTGAAATAATACGGAAACATTGTAAATCTTTAAGCACGTTTGAAGTATCATTAACCAATAATGGTGCAGTTTCGTATTTCCATATCCAGCCCTATCCGCCCTCTCAAATATCAAGATATTATCAATGAAAACATTGTAAATATACACTAAAATTATTAACATTTCAGTGAGGGTAATTTAAAATACAAAAAACAAGTGGTAATCACAAGCATAAAATGAGAACATTAAATGTAACAGTGACATGGTCTTAGATAGCAGCTAATGGACTTATCTCTTAAGCGCTGAGACAATCTCATTCATAGCTGCTGCTGCCGTCGTTAGCTCCGTTTGTCTCCTTTGTAACTCTGTAAAACAATATGCTGTCAATTAGAAATCATTTTATTATGATTAAAAACGAGAAAAAAACAGCAATGCTGAATTTGTAACTGTGGCCTCAATCTTGGCTAAGTTTACAACATCTAAAAATAAGGTTGACTATATTAAAACTGACTATCAGTTAAAAAGCCAAATGTAATCAATTCAACAGAGTGATTAGATTAAAAGACTTTTTACTCATTTGACTAAATCTAGTTAAATGCTCCATTTTAACATAGTTGATAGAAATTTACTTTGGTGCGCAAACATACTGTAAAACAAGACAACATAAGAACATCACAATAAAGACAAACAAGTGGTATTATACAAAGTGACAATATAAAAAAATAAAAAACATCTTACCAGCCTACTTAGTGTGTCTGAGTCATATCACACTGGCATGAACCTGCTTCTTTGTCACATTTAAATGAATGCTGAAATTACCATTCATACATGTTTATGCAGTAATGATGTCCAAGTGAGGGACAAAAGTACCAACCCACACTGCCCTAGAGCTACACCGTTAGGAGTGTGCCTCACCCGTCTGCCGCTTGCCCACAAGTTCCTCCAGCTTCCCCGACGCATCCATCACTGCTAGAGCCCGATCATAATCTGTGTAAAGAAGACACAGCTGTTATTCCTGTGTTTCTAACATGAAAAAGGCCGAGACAGAAATGTCCCAGTAACATCTCTTACCCTCCTGGCTGGCCTGGTCTGACTGAATTCGACTGGAGATATGATTCATCTCATTCATGAAATCGGTGAAGATGGCCTGTGTACATCCTGCCACATTACATCTTTTCCAGAAACTGCTGGAGTCGATGCTGAGCCCCAAGTCCGAGCAAGGGACCACAGGAGAGGGAGCCGATCTGGTGCCCGGAGCTGAGGGTTTCATATTGGGAGGGGTAGGCATGGAACTTCGTGAAGCAGGTTTAGTCGCACCTCGATCAGTTCTGTGGACAGCTCTCTGCTCAGTACTGGACCCTAAGAAAGGAGGCACCTCCTTATATTATCACAGTTGACATAGTATCTCTAGGTTTCAGTACTATCAGTTTTTGAACTTTCTTTCATAATTAGGAAATGTCTTGCTCAGCAGATAAGCTGTTCCTATGTATTATTTAGCGCAGAGGCCCATCCATACTGAATGAACTCGTAAACCCATAGTAATGCTCTCTCAGTACTGTGATTTGGAGCAGGGGAACGGCCATGACCTGGTGCATATTTATCACCACTTTTTTTTTATACAAATGTTATATTAGCGTTTTTTTTCATTTGTTAAAATGTGAAAGATTAAAAGTATTGTATGTATGTGCACTTTCACATCACATGCATATAACCTTGACTGAATGTTCACAAATGTATGAAATGTCAGTTTCTGTAATGTTGTTGCTACCTGTTTTGTGTGTGTGTGTGTTTGTTTTTTTTTTGAGGACAGTCAGTTTACCACTTTAGTTTACTATTGTTGTTTTGAGAAAGCTCCCACATGACCACGCTATACCTACAATCTGTCTCTACTTTTCCAGTTTCCTGGCTTTAGAAACATCAGCGTTATATGACAGCAACTGAAACAAACTTTTCTATCATAGCAAAACCTACCTTCATCTTCTCTCTCTTCACCCTCTGCTGCTATCACCAAAACGGGCTGTGCAGTTGATGTTTGGGGTAAAAGGTCAGCACTTCTCGAAAGTGATGAAGACTCTGTGCAGGTCTTCAAAGCAGGCAACAGACTCTCTGAATCAGTATCCTGAGGGGAAGCAAACATCTCACCGTACTCGTCATGTGACCTATGAAATGACTGTTGTGCTTCTCTCATTTCTCCACTCTGTCTCTCCTACTACTTGACACACTTAGCACAAACCATAAGACAATCATATTAAAATATCTTGCATGATCATAATAAAACCACCTGTCACTGAATCACATATACACAATCACATTCTGTGATTAAATATCCTTCTGAGGACTAATTTAAATTTGCCTTAAGCTCCAAGTAAATTGTGTGAATATCCAATTCAAAAGATTAAATTAACTCCAGGACCAAACAATGAGTACAACCATATGAAGAACATACACACACACACACACACATATATATATATATA